TCAAACAGAGAAATCAAAAGGATATTAGAAAAGATTGTTTCATCTTCAAGAAAGGATTGGTCAATAAAGTTCGATGATGCACTTTGGGCTTATAGGACTGCATATAAGGTTCCTACTGGGTTATCCCCTTTTCAGCTTGTCTATGGTAAGTCATGTCATCTTCCAGTGGAACTGGAGCATAAAGCATATTGGGCTTTAAAATTTTTAAATTTTGACCCAAAAGTTTCAGCAGAGCAAAGAAAAATTCAAATGCATGAATTAGAAGAAATGAAACTTAATGCATATGAATCATCCAAGTTATACAAAGAGAAAGTTAAGGCATATCATGACAAGAAGATTCTGAAAAGAGAATTTCATCAAGGCCAATCAGTTTTACTGTTTAATTTAAGGCTAAGAATTTTTCCTGGGAAACTGAAATCTAAATGGTCAGGCCCATTTGTAGTAAGATCTGTGAGGCCTTATGGTGCTATAGAATTAGAGGATCCAGCAATAGGAAGAACGTGGATAGAGGACAAATGAAGAAAATAAGGGAGGAAACTTACTTTATTTTTAATGTTTTTAATTCCTTTGTTTTTAATTTAATGTTTTTAATTGCTTTATTTTAAATTTTGAATTTCCTTGTTGTCCCATAATTTGTTTTAGAGTCATATATGGGATTATTGCTTATTGTCTAATTCAAATCTAGAACGTGAAAAATAATTTTGATTGTTTCCAATAACAAGTGATTTTGGGATATTGAGTATGATAGTGAAAAGGAATTGATGAGGAAAAATAGGAATTAACTGAATTTGAGAAGCTAGCCAAAACCCAGGTGAGCAGAGTACCAAAAACAGATAAATTGAGTGTCAACACTTTGTAATGATAACTGATATTGGTTGATTCTTTGATGTGATTACATGTTGGCAAGACTTGAAAATGATAAAGACATTTTTTTCTTTGTAGTAGATATAACCCAGAACCAAATAGTCAACTCTGCATTAATTATAGGACATCCATTTGAACCCCTTATGAGTAAAAAATAATATTGTTTCTTAAACAGAACCCTTAAGCCTAAACATTATTTATCTACCTTCCTATATTTGAGAAAGAAAATGAGTATGAATGTCACTATTTTTCTTATTGTTGGGTATTGCTATTGTTGTCCTACGGGTATTATTGGGGTGTATTGTTAAAAAAAAAGGTGTAAAGAAAAAGGAAAAGCAAAGCTTAAAAAAATTGGCAAAGCCAAAAAGAATATATGCAAAAGCATGAAAATATATATATATATATATATATATATATATATATATATATATATAATTCAAGGGGGAATAATAACTTGTGAGATTATTAACTCACTGTCATTGTGTTAGGGACAAATGTGACGTTTATTATTATTATTATTATTATTATTATTATTATTATTATTATTATTATTATTATTATTATTATTTATATAAGAGTAGGAGGTCAAAAATATTACATATATGTAAAAGTAATTTACATTACTATATAAGATATACAATAGAAGAAGGAATTTTATTTTTGATTCCTTTTATTTTTTTCTACGATTTTACAAGTATATCTACATTGCCGGTGGAAACAAACTAATTAAGGGGCTTTGGAAAAAGGTAGGAGGCATACAAAAGGTAACCACTACTGGCCCATCTAACATAATGGGATTTCCCATATCAGATACAAATGTTATTATTGAAAATCCTGTCCCTCTAAAAGTAACCGAATTGTCTATAACATTTGTGTTCCAAGTAGTTCCGGGAAAGAAGACAGTGATGCTTGCAGAAAAGGGATTTGGAATATTTGGCGCCTCCATCTACTTAAGTTGATTTTTAAATAAAACATGCACAAAAGATCACAATAGGGAGTGAGAACATTTATCAATTACAATAATACAATCTTATAATATATAGATATATATGTTTCAACTTCCTCAACACATTCTATTTTATGAAGATTTAAATTAAATTTGTAGTGACTAGTCAGGATAAATGAGTTCAATTTTAATCACTCTCACAGTGATATTTACTCATTTAAATCCCCAAGGTTCAACCTCCATCTACAATATCATCAAATCTTCACAAATAGATATTATTGTAATTGAATAATATAACTATAGATTAATAAATAAGATCGTTGCATTACTAGAGATAAAATAAAGTAAACAAACAAGACCAGTACGTAACTGGAGATAATTAGAATAAGACCAGTGCAAGACTGAAGATAAAATAAAATGAACAAACAGGACCAGTACATAACTGGAGATAATTAAATTAGGACCAGTGCAAGACTGGAGATAAAATAAAATAAACAAATAGGACCAGTACATAACTGGAGATAATTAAAATAGGACCAGTGCAAGACTGGAGATAAAATAAACAAGCATAAGGTAGGGTCATACGTAGTTAGAGATAAATAAACAAATAACTAAATAAATAAAATGAGGTTAGGGACACCTCACTCCACAACTATAAGCAAAATAAAATAGATTTAATGATAATATTCTCCTCCCCTACCTTAAGAGCTGCGGATGAGGTGCCAAAATTTTTGTAGAGACAAATTTTTTTTTTCTTTCTCTTCTTCCCTCTCTCTTTCTTTCTCTTTCTCTCTCTTCCTCTCTCTCTTCCTCTCTCTCTTCTTCTCTCTCTCTTCCTTTCTCTCTTTCCCTCTTTCTCTCTCTCCTTCTTTCTCTCTCTTCCTTATCCTTTCTTTCTCTTTCTCCCGCAACTTTCCCCCTATCCCCTTTTATAGCCATATTTTTTTTTTCTTAATGAAATCATTAAAACCATTAATGACTTGGATAAAACTTACCCATTAAGATAAGTTAACTTTATCTTTCAATTTTTTTTTTTTGAGATATTACAACAAAGACATGAAGTTTGATAACTGACTTGAGGAATTGTCAATCAAGAATCACTCATATGAGTTGAATTTCTCATATATTCTTGTATATCCCAGAAAAACCAATAATTCTTTCTTAGCTCAGCCCCATTACAAGCCTAAAAAATCTTTCGGTAATATCCATTTACCAATCCGTCAAAAATTCGATTGTCAGTAAATATTACCGACGGATTTAATAGTCCATCGGTAATATTTTTATTATTTATTAAATATTTTACTTATATAGCTTTTTTTTTTCTTATTTATTATTAATTATTTTCCCTTATTACATTTTGATAGCCTTCAATTTTTATCAGATTAAGAGAATTGTCATGTCATTGGCAGGATTCGAACCCAGTACCTTAGAGTTAGAGGTCGATACTCCAACCACTATTCGAACCCAAGTACCTTAGAGTTAGAGGTCGATACTCCAACCACTAAGCTACCGAATTTTCTCGATAATAATTTACAAATAAATTATATTTATATATTTATATTTTATATATATATATAATTAAATATTTATTTTTTAAAATTATTTAATTTAAGAAATTATTATAAATTAATCTAATTATGATTAAATTAAATTATTAAATAAAAAATATTTAATTTTTTAATAAGGTGAATATTTATTAATTGTTAATTTACCGACGGAAATATTCGTCTGTAATTTACAGATGAATTTACCGACGGATATATCTGTCTGTAATTAATTGTTAATTTATCAACTGATTTACCGACGGATATATCTGTCGGTAAATTTATCTGTAAATTACCGACGGATTTATCGACGGATATATCCGTCGGTAAAATCAAATTCCACAAATATTTTATATCCGTCGGTAATAATTATTTTTCGACGGTTACAAATCCATCAGTAATACGCAATTTTCTTATAGTGGAAGATGATTATCAATATTTGATTGTCTAAATGAAGTGATTGAATGAGATAAACACTTACCTGTGAGAATTAGAGATGAGTTATTTGGATATCATGCTTCTCTGAGGATAGTTGATAACAAATTATTCTTTGTTGGTTTCTATAACTTGAATGCTTATGTGTTCTATTTTTATTTGGAGTTGTGAGCATCACCTCTTAAAATTTTTATATTGTGGTTTTGGAAGAGAAGTGATAATAGGCGATGATTTTGTTTTGAAAAAACTACTTTGCATAACAATTTAAGATATAATTATATCAACTTTTTACCACTTAACAATTCTCTGCCATGAAACGGATGCATGCAAAATCACATGAAAGATTCCTTATCAACAACTGTGTGGGATTCCATGCACAATAGTTACCGTGAGACACATGGATGAGAGTAAGACCATTTTCGTACTCCTTCTCATGTATTTTTGTACTCTTCTCCTCGATCTAGTAGAGACTCTTCATCCACATTTTGTTAAAATTCTTATTCCTACTTTTCCTCAAATTGATGGATACAAACATAAAAAAGTCTATACTCTTCCATTTACATGAAGAATATATATGTGAATCCAAACACGATATATACCATCTAATATTTGATTCGCAGATTGATAAAATGGTATAAATTAAGAGATTTTTCTTTCTATCTATCTTTGTACCGGTCACAATCTTATTGTAGTCCTTTTTAATAATGTTTAGTGTTAAATAAAATATATTTGACAAACAATTTATTTCAAGTCACTTTCTCATGCACACGTACACCCATTATACCTTTCTTTCATCATGACAAAAAATGTTTAAGATTCCACCGAAAAAGAGTTAAGATTTAACGTAACTAATAATGTTCAATATATTATTTAAATGGGTCCTCCGAAACTTTAACATAGAAAAAAAGAAGAAGAAGAAGAAGATATTAATAGAAGAAAAAATTGATTAAATACTATCAGTTATAATAAGCAAAGCAAGGGATTGCTTATACGTGAAAAACTACTATCAACCTAGGTTACATTTACAGGGTCTTGCAGTAGAAGCATGGAATAAGAATCTTGAATGATGCGAAGCAAGCCATCCAATTTCTTCATCGCAGGGTTGGCTACAATCCTATAAGAAAATTAAGCATCCTCTGGTTTTCCATTCGAATTATTGATCTCTACACAAACATCTTTGGAATTTGGAGGTTTAATCAAGTTCATTCTCAATGGCCACTGAGACTAGTAGAATTTCAAGACCAGTTGGAACAAGAACAAGTTCATCATCACAAGCACCAGATGTCGAAGAGATCGTACCAAATTATGGATGGACAGACGACAATTCAGGCCATTTTCTTCTCGTAGATCTTCGTGGTATGCAAACAACTCATCATCTTTTATATTCTTGTACTTCTCATAAATTTATTTATATTAGTGTTAAAGTTTTTTTTTCTTTTTTATAAATTCTTATAAATTTTATTTATTTATAATATTTCTTTTCTTAAAATATGAAAATATTATAATCTCTTAATAATATATTTAATCATTTTTAAGTTTTGAAATTCGAGTTTTGATTAATATAAATATATAATTAATTATGTGAAGCACTAGTTTATAAAATATAAAAAATGAAAATCAATCATTTATTAAAATATTAAATTCGACCATGTTTATAAAAAAATATTATTTATTTATTTAAATAGATTATTTATAATTTTTATAATATTTATCTCAAATTATATTATTTAAAATATTGTAATTTATTTAAATATAAATTATATTATTATTATTATTCATAATAAATTTATGAATATATTTTAAATTATTTAGAAACATAATTTATTTTAGAAAATAGTTTTTTTTAATTAATTGCGGGGAAGTAATTACAGAGTGAAAATATAATATATAAAAAATACAAGTGAGAAAAAATTTAATAAAATGACTAAAATTGTTCTTAAATAATAATTATATTTTAAAAATGAAATTAAAAAATATTATATATATATTATTAAATTGTTAAATATAAAATTATTTTTTAAAATAATAATTAGTGATTTAATTTAGGTCTCTAATCTGCCTAAAAAAATGATAGAGCGATTTTAGTATGTTAATTATTCTTTATCTATAGTCAAGAAGATCCGTTTCAAAAAATTATTTATATATTAAAATTATAATTAAAAATTATTATATTTTATTATGTTATTGAAATATATAAATATGTTATAATAATATAAGTTAAATTATAATAATTAATTAATTAAATTAAAATTATTGATTAGAATTATTTTCTTTTTAACCTATAAATATAATAATTTTAAAAATTATTTAATAAAAATTTAAAAAAATATTCATATAATTAAATATATATTTAAAAAATACGTATAAAAAATATTATTTAATTACATACAATGAAGTGTCGTTTTGACGGGATGGATTGAGAATTGGAACTTAATTATTTCAGGGCATCCGTCCGGTTTTTAATGCTAGAGGCGGGATCCGTTTTGCCAGATTCAATATCACTTGAGAAAGAATTACAAAAATATTATGATGAGCAAAATAGGATATTACGTTTATAATTGTTGCAGATTTCATGAACATCTCTCATCTTATTTCAGGATTCAAGAAGGAGGATGTGATCCTTCAAGTGGATGGCTCCAGTGGCCACATTATTGTGAAAGGCGAAAGGTATACAAATGAACAGAAACGTGTTCACTTTGAGCTGAAATTTGCAGTGTCAGCAGATGCAGATATGGAAAACATATCTGGAAACTTTGATAATGAAATCCTTTACGTGCACGTTCCCAAGAAAGCTTCACAAGGCCACAGAGAAAGTGGCACAGAGAAAGGTTCACATGACAATTTCGAAAGGCCACCAGAAACTGAATCTGAAAATGATGATCACCATGGTGTTGCCCATAGACATCACACTCCAAACAGTGATGATGAAGAAAAAAGAAGAAAGGATGTTGCAGAACACATAGATGATTATCCTCAAAACTTAACAAGGAAGTGGGAACAAAAATACATGTCAAGAACTCTTGTGGAGGTTTTGATGAGAAACAAGGGAGTTGTTATAACTGCTGTTGTGGCATTTTGCTTTGGATTGTATGTTTCTGAGAAGTTCCATTCATGGAATGCACCATAAGTGACAAGCATCCATGAATATACATACTAAACTCACTTTATGCCTCGTACCTATGTATACACAAGTAAGAATGTGTACCATGATGATATTCTAATTAATAACACGTGTCTTTGGTCTTCTTCTTCTTCTTCTTCTTTTTTCTCTTTCCAATTATATAACTGCATAATTTAATTTAAAACTTAAATTTATTTTTTACATGTATAGTTTCGTGATTACTCATTTTATTTTTGCATATTTGGTCACTTACTTTTGCATATTATTTTTATTGATTAATGTTGATATACCATTAGTTTCCAATTGATTAACGTTGATATATCATTAATTTCCAAATTTTTTTCTAACAAAAAATCATTGACAATATATTATTGATTTGACACAGATATTGACTTGACACTAACTCGTACATTACCGTCACACTAATGAACTTCGTTCATTAGAAACCAAAATTATATTTAGTTCTCTATTCAAGCTTCTGGGGAAAAACAGCAATTCTAATTCAGGACTTCTCAGTCCCATTTTCTTGGATTGGTTTCGATGCATAAACCTTCAGTTCAATTATTTCTGTGCCATTCTAGATTTAACAAGAATGGGATCATAGGATTTGAATCATCCACACTGGATTTTGGATACTGCGTTCTAACGAATTAAACTAAGAGTGTTTCATTTTCATAAATAATTTTATGAATGTTGTCATGCACTCTACAGATAAGTAGGAATGCGTGAGATGTGGAGATTGATTTTTGAGTTGTGTTTTTGAATTAAATGAAGATAATTTCTTTAAAAATATATGATAAAAAAATAATTACTGATATTATAAAATAATAATAGATTAAAGATAAATAATAGAATTAAAGATAATATGTAAACATATAAATAAATATTTTATTTTTAATATTTAGCGATATATAAGTCCTCAAACTGAGGCAAAATTCTTTAAGAATTTTATGTTATGTCATTATGAGTTTATTCTACAAACTAGTTGTATTCTATTAGAATAAATTATTCACTACAAAAAAAAAGCTTATTACCTACGGAATATTACCTACGGATACAAATCCGTAGGTAAATTTTACATTACCTACGGATATTACCCACGGATAAAAATCCGTAGGTAAATTTTACATTACCTACGGATATTACCCACGGATGAAAATCCGTAGGTAAATTGTACATTACCTACGGATATTACCTACGAATTCTATCCGTAGATAATTATCCATTACCTACGGATATTATCCGTAGGTAATATAATCCGTGGATAATTCCGTAGGTAAAGTGTACATTACCTACGGATATTACCTACTACGGAATTCTATCCGTGAGTAATATCCGTAGATAAATTATATTAAACTAAAAGAATTGTCACTAGCAAGAATCGAATCCAGTACCTTAAAGTTGAAAACTGATACTTCAACCACTAAACTATTAGGATATTCTAATAATAATTTACAACTAAATTATACTTATATTAATTCGTGTAAATATATAAATATATAAATATATAAATATATAAATATATAAATATATAAATATATAAATATATAAATATATAAATATATAAATATATAAATATATAAATATATAAATATATAAATATATAAATATAAAATATATAAATATAAAATATAAAATATAAAATATATAAATATATAAATATATAAATATATAAATATATAAATATATAAATATATAAATATATAAATATATAAATATATAAATATATAAATATATAAATATATAAATATATAAATATATAAATATATAAATATATAAATATATAAATATACAAATATACAAATATATAAATATATAAATATACAAATATACAAATATACAAATATATAAATATACAAATATACAAATATACAAATATACAAATATACAAATATATAAATATACAAATATATAAATACATAAATACATAAATACATAAATACATAAATACATAAATATTTAAATATATAAATATTTAAATATATAAATATATAAATATAAATAGATAAATAGATAAATAGATAAATAGATAAATATATAAATATATAAATATATAAATATATAAATATATAAATATATAAATATATAAATATATAAATATATAAATATATAAATATATAAATATATAAATATAAATATATAAATACAAATATATAAATGTATAAATATATAAATATATCAAAATATAAATATATTTTATATTTATATATTTTATATTTTATATTTATATATATTTTTTATATTTATATATATTTTATATTTATATATTTACACGGATAAATATAAATATAATTTATTTGTAAATTATTGTCAAAATAACCTAATAGCTTAGTGGTTGGAGTATCAGCCTCCAACTTCGAGGTACTCGGGTTTGAATCTTGCCAATGACAATTCCCTTAATCTAATAATAATTCAAAGTTTCGAAAATATAATAAATAATAAAAATATAATATAAAGGGGAGGGGTTGTAATAAATAAAAATATTTTGTTAAGGTGAGTGCATTACCTACGGATTATACGGATTATAAATCCGTAGGTAATTCCAGCGAGTGCATTACCTACGGATTTTCTACGGTTTGTAGTGATTCTCAAAATTATTACTCGACTAAGTCAACTATCTATTATGAGTGAGTAATTGTACCTAATATTTTGTATTGAATTCAGTCATATAGATTTCTGCGTTATAATCTTCGTTGTTTATCCTAAATTTGATATCAAAAATTTGAAATTATTAAATAAAAATATTAATATTAAGAAAGTAGGAATAATTTAGTAGAATAATTATGTTAGGTTTATTTCAGAGTGTTGTGTATTTTAGCTATGTATTTCATGCTTGGATTTGAAACTTTAAGTTGAATGGATAAATATGTATTGTTTTGCATATGTTTGATACTTCTCTTGAACGAACAATGTGTATGCATTTGATATTTAACACTTAATGCTCGCATTTGAACTTTAAATTACAAATTTAAATATAAAAATAAAAAGTTGTTAAAAAGATTCTAAAAAAAATATTTCACAAAGCCTAAATTTCAATTTTAAATAAATTTAATTTTTTCTATAAAAGTAACTGCAAAGTTATTTATACTATATAAACTATAGACTCATTCACTATGTACTTCTAATGAGTTATCTAATTAGCATCTAGAAACTAATATCTGAAAAGTTTATAATTACAAAAAATAGAAACAAATATACAAAAGTATTAAGGGGAAGATTGATGAAAATATGAAACATGTCCCTACATTTCCAAAAGATGATTTTGATGATGATTCAAGTTAACAACATTCAAAACTCAAGCAAGCCCAATATATGATTTTGATAAAGATTTCATTCAAACATCAAGTAAGTCCAATATGATTCTTGAAAACTAGATAGAATCTTAGAATACTGGATATAGAGGTACAAGTTGATGAAGTGGTATTATGCATAAGCCTCCAAAGCATAAGTATGATAAAATTTTGTAACATGACATTTTTCAATGTCATAATTAATTATGATGCATCAGAAATGGAAAAATAATTTTCTCTTTGTCATAATCGATTATGGCAGTTCAAATTTGAAAAAAATATATGTTTTAAAGAATAAATACTTTTTAATACATCCTAATTTTTCTCTACGAAAGTATTAATGACCAACGACTCTTTTTTGATGCTATTTTCCTCTTTAAATGAGTGTCGCCACCATCAAAAAGAGGCGGTCGGAGCGACGCGATGGTTTCGACCCTTTTGATTTTCGCGTTTTTTTGTTGGTGGTTACAACGCCTTTAGGTTGTCCGATAATCGGGCTGAACCTAGGGGCGAGGTTTTTGAAAAGGCACTCTTGGATTGTCCGATAACCGGGCTAATCCAAAAGCTAGTTTTGAAAGGGTTATGTGGAGTCGCCACCGATGTTTTTACCGGAAACATCAGAAAATGATTTAAAAGGCGTTGGTTTTCGAAAAACCAACTTTGGTCATTAGAACCAGAGTTGGGTAAGGGAGTTAGTTACGTGTAAAGGAAGTGTTAGTTCCTTTACGACGCCCCTTTCGGGTTCCCTATGACAGGCCAGCTTATTTAAAAATATTTAAACCGGTGAAAATTACACTTTTACCCTTTTATTCCGCGGAATTTAAAATTACGACTACATGGCCCTAGTATCTATTGCATAATTTAAAATTAAAGCGATAAAAGTAGAGAGGGAGAATATAAACCTCCGAAACACGCTTTTATATTAATTCTTAAAAATATAGGGTGCTTTGTGGCAGCCTTTCACTCTACACAGCGTCGGAAACTTCTCGGAACGCTCGAAAAACACTCTAAAGACACTCAGAAGCTCCGGAAATGCGTCGGAGGGATTCTAGAGAGAGAAACTAGTGATTTTCTAGAGAGAAGGAGGAGAAAACTCTGTGTGGTGTGTGGAAATGAGGGAATGGAGCCCCCTATTTATAGTTTTTCGCGCCTGACAGGTCGAGATCGTCGTCTCGTCAGACAGGGTCGAGACCGCCGTCTCGCCATGCCAAAGTGGCGAGACCGCCGTCTCGCCCTTCGCAGATGGTGAGACCGTCGTCCCGGGAAGCGAGACCGCCGTCTCGCCATTCGCAGGTGGCGAGACGGCGGTCTCGATTTTGAGACGGCGGTCTCGTCCCTAAAAAGGCGAGAAACCTTATTTTTGTGCAGAAAATCTCTCCTATCCTAGTATGGGGCCTAATAGTCTCTCCTAGTGGCTTCTTAGGCTTCGTCCATCTTCGAATAGGAGGTCTTTTACTCTTTGTTTGGAGGTCGGGCAAGATTTGGGGTCTACAATGAGTTTTGATGAAAAATAAAAAATACACAATTACAGAATTCGAAAATTCAATTTACATTTTATCAGTTTTGAGAAAAGAATTCTGAGCAAGACCAGAACACTTTTAGGTTTCCTGAGAAAACTTTTTCATATTGTCTTTTGCACTTTCATTGTTAATCACATTTATTCTTGGAGGTTGGTATTCTACAGGTTTCTACAATTTATTGTCTCCATTACCAGGT